TCGGTGTATGTGATGATATGAAGGTGGAGATTTCTAACCTTTTTTTCCCAAAATATTGTACAGTATAATGACAAATAAATGTATTTTTGTAGGTTGATTATGATTTGTCAAACTTATTAAATATGTTAAAACCAGCAAAAGATTGTGACTGAAAATCACTGCATCAACCACTCAGTGTAACTGGTAATAAAATTGTGTAATATGAGACAGTGCAAAAGCAGCACATGTTTGGGTCACAAATATAGAGCTATATACTATATTACCATATGCCTTTATAAATCGTTAGATGTTATTTTTGTGGCATTTCTCTCTTTTTTTCTGGTTCCCTCAATTATAATCTGGAAAAACTGTTCCCTTTTTAGGTCTCATTTAAATATTTATGCAGTATAAATGGGTTCTTTCACTCTAAAAAATGATTCAGCAGCATATTTTACATAAACTGGTGAATTCAGTAAAAAAAAAACATGATGTTAGATATATATTCACATTTATTAATTTGGCAGACACTTTTACCCAAATCAACTTGCAAATTTACATCAGCAGTTTGTCATAAGTTTAAAGTTAAAGTTAGATTAATACACAAGATAGAGATGACGTGAAATACAGAAAAGAGAATGAGAACAAGATTTTTAAGGAGTTCTCATAATAAGTACCTAACTGAATGGTTATGGGTTATAGTTAAATTATTGTAGAAGCGATTTCATGAAGGTTGGGATGGACTTAATTTGATCAAATATTTAATGTTCTGGCTAATGATTTCTGCCTTGACATACTCAGTATTTCTAAAGCTTAGAACAAAATTTTCTTTAATTCCTTAAAAAAAGATTAATTATATGTAAATTCTTTTTATGTCTACAATTTTCAGTTACAGTAAATGCTTTGACCTTTGAGTAAAACAAAGTACCAATGCTTTAACCTGACTTTCACAACCTTAATATTTACAGATCACGGAGTTCACTGATGATTCCTCAATAACCCTGAACCCAGGATAGAGAGGCTGAGTGAATGTTGTCTTTTCTCTGTGAATGAGGGTCATTTGTTAGAGATTATAGGACAGAGTTCCTGCACTGTGATCCACATACACTCCTATACAGGAGCTGGACTCTAGAGGCAGTTTTATCTCTCTGTTATTGTGCAAGAATGAACAACTCCAGGGATTACCATTGCATCCAAGCAAACATGCATTACCTGCTCCTTTCCTGGTAATGCTCGTAATATGCTACTGATATACCCACAGTCCTGTTCCACTCAACTTCCCAGTAACAGCGTCCACACACTTTCTCTCTACACAACACCTGCTCCCAATAATCAAATATGTCTGGATGATCAGGACACTTCTGGAATATGTTCACGTGAGTAGCCAATCTGTTCCTCTCAGACAGACGAAGGTTTTTATTCACTGTGTTTGGATCCAGAGTAAAGTTGCTGTGATCTAATGGAGGTAGGCCTACAAAAAAAAGAAATGCCTTGGGGAAAAGATTGTACACATCATACATACACTGATATTGATGTCATCAGTATAAATGTGTGTATTGTTTTCTGCAGTCACTGTAAATTAAATCAAAATAATGAAACTTTTAAAAGTGAAAAGTGTGACGGAAACAAACTATTGGGACATTCTTCATTTGCAGTGGCAAGTGGTGTCCCTACTTGCAGCAGTAAATATAAACTTTAAATACAAAAAAATTATAAAATGTTTGCATATTTGTATTTTGTAAATTTATTTAAAAAGTGTATACATATTTATTTATTTATTTTTTTGCATTTGAGAGATTTCATGTGTATCAAAATCTGCATGTTCCCGCCATACATCACAATGTAATGTAATTGCAAGATGTAATTGCAAGAATATATAATCAAAAATAATGTGGTTGAACAATTTATTTAACATACAATTTCATTAAATTGTTGTTTAAAAAAAGTTATGTTGATAACTTACAAATTTTACATATTTTAATAAAAATTTTCATTAACATTTCCAAACGGTCCCGTGATCTTGAAGCTCAGACCCCATTTTAGAAAAGTCAGGATTTGTGCAAATTTTTGCTAAAATCAATTAAAAACAAAAATGTGATTAAGCTTCCATTTTACTGAATGTAGCACATTAAACAAAATTTAAATGCATAGAAATTAGTTGTATGGTTTTTACAAATTCCACCTCTCATTTGCCACTCCATTTAAAGAATGACCCAGTTGTTTTCAATATAAATTTTTTATTTATATATTTATACAAAAACATCCGTTAAAAACAAACCTGACAGTGATAAATATTAC